TCAATTATTACAATATGGACATCAAATGGTTTTGAAAAGGTTGGAAAGTTGAGAAATTTTTCATAATCATTCCAGTTTTTTCTTTATTTTTTGAGAAAAAAATTAAAAAATAAAAAATCTAACTTTAACAGGAGAAAAGTTCAAAAAATAACCAATTCTGTGCCAATATTTTGCATTTATGTTAAAACCTGTTCTGTTACCAAGAACGAACTTCAAGTTACTAATGAAGAAGAAGCAATGAGTGGTCAAATGAAAGTGCGCAAAGAGTTTTTGTATGAAAAATGAGCAGGAAATAATGTTACTCATACGCCATGTATACCTGTAAGTCCGCATTAGCCCCGAACTGGTACCGCAATGGTCCGAACTAGACCCAAAATGCGCCCCTTAACTACTCCGGATGCCTCGTTGCGTATTACAGCAAGCCTAATTTTGCATTAGTATAAGTAGATGGCGGGCGTTGAAACCCGAATCGACTTACGTGATTTTTGCTGTTTTGCGTGAAGACTTAGAATGTCAGTTTGACGCATATGAACCATAATTTATCATAAATCATTAGGCAAGAAGCTAACGATGCTTTTAGAGCTTTCCACTAGTCGTTGTGATATGGGAGTTCAAATTGAGTCCTTTATTTTAGCTGTTGTGATAGCTCAATTTATTTGATCTTTGCACTAAAAGAAAATTTGTAAAAATACTTTTCTTATTCAGCAAAAACTTAAACAAATTACAGTCTTTCGAGCTTAGTATTGCATGATGAGTCCACACTATGAATGTAAATGAATATTTTTCAATAATATGGCAAACTTAAAAGTTTTTATTTGATTAAAACCTCAGCAGCGACGCCTAAAATTTGTTTTAAAATTTTGAACTTTTCTTGCAAGACCCTACAAAATTTTTATTTTCATATTTTTTTAAGGACCACCCTAATGCGCGCCTGTATATGTAGGCACACACGTGTATTATTGCTATCGGTTGTTGTATTTTTTTTCTGTGCTTGGCCACAATACCTACTTCACATGCTTCACGGCTAGTTTAAAAGAGCACACACTTGCGAAAGCAAACAAAAAAAAAAACAATTTGGCAAATCTCACTTCACAATTCCGGCATTTATTGCGGGCGAAGCATTTATTTTTTTAACGTTTTTCCAAGTACTAATATAAATAAATTCAATTGATTATGAACGTTTATGGCCAAATATTTTCATTGCTATTTGTAACATAAACACTTACATACATATGTACATTAGACCGAACCGCGAAAAAAAGTTCGCCGTGCACCGCTGAGTCTAAAGTATCTATGCAAGGCAATTTTAAAACAAAAATAATTTTTTCTTTTGGACGAACGTAGAGGTGGACTTTTTAAATTTTTCGGTATATCTTCGGCATTTACAGTCGGATTTTGGAGTATGATATATGTATGTTTTTTTCTCGAAGATCCAATTTTAAATTTTTTTTGTTCTAAAATTCATTGAACACAAGTACTCCGTTATAGTACTTACCCACCAGATATCAGTTCTTATTACACTAACGTACCACCCTAATATCAGTAAATTAAATCTGACCAAAAATCATTAAACTTTTGCTAGGAAAGTATTTCGATAATTACAGTAGAATATTTAAAACGAATTTCGGTGTTACCGAAAAATTTAAAAAGGAAACCCGTAATTTTGGTAGAAGAAAGAAAAAAAAAACAAGTTTCTTTTCGAAATTTCACTGCACAATTTATTTAGTCTTTTTTTTTTGTTTACAGTCTAATGTACACCTATATACGTAAAGAGATATTATCGCTTGCATTTTTTTAGCACTTCATTCGATGGTGCGAACATTATTCTATAATTGATGAGCTGAATTTTATTCATGTTCAAATTTTATATGTGCAGATTTTTTTGCACCTTTGAAGCTGATGCTGTTCGTAAATGTTTGCACTTTTTTCACTTTTAATTTATTTTCAAATTTATTTGTTTTAATTTTCTTTGTTTGTGCTTTGAAGGCTTGTAAATTTGCCAGTCTGGAATGTATGTATGTATGAAGGTGTGTATATCGTTACACGCCTGCGGTTGTTGTGCACAACTTCACAACTCTGTTTGCCAAATACATGACAGGTACACTTTGCTTTGTACCTGTCTGCCTGCTGCCTGTTGGCAAGTTGCATCGATTTTTCTCGCCCATTGTATTTTTAAAACTTCATTCTACATGTAATTATGTGGAAAAACAAGCGGTGAAACCATACATACATACATACACATGTATGAGTGAATCTATTTACAAAGTACATATGTAGTAGCAAAGCAAGTGAACAATCGTTAGTTTTGCTAGCAGCATATTCACCTGCACGCATACATATGTGTGTATGCACATTAGGGTGATCCAAATATTCATCTGAAAAATTTAAGTTGGAATTTTAATGCTCTCACCCCTAGGACTGTGCTATGCCGAAAAAATTATAACCCTGTTTTTTTTATATTTTAAATCAAAAATATTGAGGGGTCACTCAAAGTTTTCCATGTATTTTATATCGGAAAAAATAGTTTTTCGTAGAAACGGTATAGAATTGTTGAAATGAATATTTTTCGTTAAAAAACTTTATTTCGCTTCAAGAGACTTGCAATAATAATATCCAATTGTTTACCATTTTTAATGCTAGCGATTTTTTATGGGTCCCCCTTGTTGCATTTTTTTTGTGGGTTTAGGGGTCCTATAAAAAATAGTTTAATATTGAAAACTGGTTAAATAAACTATTGAGTATAATCATTTACAGTCTTCGAAGAGAAACAAAACTATCCAATCGAAATAGAGTTTAGAGCGACCTCAGGCTGGGGTATACTTTTTTTGGTATATGACAATCCTAGGGGATGACCGCATTAAAATTCCGACTATACTTTTTTTTTTTACCACCCTAATGTACATACATACATACATATGTATGTACATCGAAGTCCTGCCAAAGCCACATGTCAGACAGGTAGGCTGGCCGGATTGTAGTGGTTTCCAGGGCAGGGAAGCAACCAATTTGGGTGGCTAGGCGACTGTTGTTGTTGGCCAATCGACCGACCCAGCGTCCTTTTGACTAACTGACTGGCTGCCTGACTATGTTAGCTGCGGCAAGTAAACGACCTGTCAAGTGCGAGCCGGAAGGCGGTGCGGTGAGTTTTATGTGCCACCACATGCTGCACGCCCTTTACAGCGGCAACATATTGGAATTTTGGCAATATTACACAGCATATAGCTGGAGTATGTAGTAAGTTTGCACGCGCATGTGTGTGTGCTGCCACCCGCTGTTTCATGCATCTTTTTTAAATGTGTCAAACTTTACCTACAATAAATATTAAGGGCGGCACGCTTTTTCAATGTAGGCTACACACGCACACACATACATACATTCCTTTGCTTTTCTCTTTGTATTTGTGAGCGTGGCACATCCCTGCTAGCATTTATTATCGCGGAAGTGGCGAAAAAGTAACTTCAAGAAGGTAAATTTCATCGCGGAAGTTATCGCTTTCTCATCTTTTTACTATCCTCCTTCGGGAAAGACTGTTCCCCGTAAGCGTTACGTCCACACTGACACACATGCGACACTACAGGAAGTGACTTCTTAGTGTCGTCTGGAAGAGACAAAAGCGGTACACCCAAACATACTCGCATACGACGCTTCCGAAAGTAACTTCTTAGTGTCGTGTGGGAGACAGATTTAATTAATGTAAAAAACTGCAAATATATTTGCTTAATTTTTTTAACTTTTATTAATATTAAAAACAACAAAAACATTTTGTTTAAATTATTCAGTTAAGTATAATTTGGTAACATTATTTCGTTAAGTATAGGAGTTAAGGAATTAATTGCAGAGGCGTGTATTTTCATTTGAATGTTTCCATTTGAGCACTCAATCCCTGGCGTGTAAGAAATGTTGTTGCACAATTTTATTTATTTGAAAATCTGTCGAATTTTGGAACTTGGAGTGACAAACATCTGAGAAAAATAAGAAAATGAATCTTAGTTAATATAAGCATTTCTAATTACATACATATATTATTTTAAACCTTTTATGATGGAAAAAACTGCAAAGTTTTGTATGCTTGGCTTCTCCGATGTCCCACGCCAAGTTAAATTAATCGCCAACTTATAAGACACAATTTGCTTTAACGCTAAACGGACTTATAATCGCCAACGTGCTGTACCGCTTTCAATATGTATGTGACTATTTATTTATTTATATAACATCAAATTTCTGAGTTGACGAATTTAAGAGCATTGTCTGCTAAATGTATGTAACTATTGTAATAAAAAAATTTTTGTGCTGAATTTTTTTTTTTGATTTTTATTTCGCCGTTAACTAGACAAACCAGAAATTGTCTTCTTTTTGCACGATAAGAAGTTAAGAACGCGATAGTAGTGCATTTTGTTTTTGTAAAATATGGACCATCTTTCAACTAACGTTTAGAAGTGCCTCAGACGTTACTTCTTTGGTATAGACGAGAAAACGATCTTCTAAATGCTGGCAGGGATCGCGCATGTTGACTTTATTTCCTAATCTATTAGTTTTCAATTTTAAATTTTCCAATTTTCAGTTTACCTTTTAATTTTGAGTATCCTCTCAGACAAACACAGCTGCGTACATATACATATCTAGTACTTAGTATACTTGTATGTACATATGTCACTTTTTTCACTCACTTTCTATTCGCCTGCGCCGCACCTTCACCACTACCACCCCCACCAACGCGAGCGCTGCGTTATTTCTTTTATGTTGCCACCAATTAATTGACTATTTCGGCACATAAAAAAACGTTTACGTAGACACAGTCGCACTCACACCCCCACACCCACCGTAGTGATTTGCCATTAAATTCACAATACACACAACGCTGCGTTTTTTTCTTTGACCCTTAACGTCACTAAGGTATTCCTGTTATTCTCATTTTGCCAAACGGCCTATCCTTTTGTTTTCTATTTTTTTTTTTTTGCCCAGCACCATGTATGTATGTAACTCCCTCTTTTTTGCCTCACCTATGTAAGCCGTCTAAAGTGTCGAAGTCCTGGCTGCCTCCTTTGCAGTCTTGGCTGCCTTCGCTGAAGCTGTCCCAATTACCCTCGCCGCTGCTACACGCGCTTGCATTAAGGCATTGAGCACGAACACTTTGTATAATTTCTTTCCACAGTTTTTATTATATTTTTTTCACTTTTCTACTCCTGTTTTTTGGTGCACTACTTACGACACTTTTTTTTCAGAACTTTTTCCTCTTGTGTGAACAATAATGCTGTTGCTGCTGCTGTTGCTGCTTCTTCTACTTCCTTTTTTTATGCCACAACCTTTTCCTTCTTTGCTTTTTTTCCTTTCGCTGCTTCACTTGCTCACTCATTCAACTAAACATAAATATACATATCCACATATGTATATTATATACTATTTATGTATTTTAGCTCAGTTTTATATCGGTTTTATTAAAACAATTTTTATTGGGAATTTTCTTGTATGTAAATAAATTTTTTTATTGAGCGTTTTTCGCTGCCCGTATTGCTTTCCGTTTACACGTTTCACTAGTCCGAAAATCTTT